GACTTCTCTATTACTTCGAATTTTTTCCTCGCCAATCGCCAGTCGTCCTCGATTTACAGCAGTTTGCTTAGCAACCAGCACAAGTCACAACGGCACTGAGAGAAAAGAGAGATCGGTGGCCGCTTTTTCACGGTTAATGACCCCAAATTTGCAGCATTCTCCCCACAGTCACATAATCACAATTCAGACGACTCGCGCTTACGTCGGTCACAGCGTCGCCGGTGTGTGTGTGTGTGTGTGTGTGTGCGTGTGTGCGTGAGGCGATCCCCTTTTGCGACCTTCCAACCAGCCGCGGGAGAAAGCCAGTGACTCACTTAACAACCGGGCGAACCAACTGCACTGCTCCACTTAACGGCGAGCGAGCTCGCAAAAGGCGGGCAAACCCACCAAACTGGCTTAGCAGCCGAAACGTTGCGCTAAGTTGAGGACCGCCTGTACGCCATGGGGGGCGTGGGGGGGTAAAGGGGGTGGGGAGGAAGACCCTCTTCAAGAGGATGATTTGGAGGTCTCCTGCCTCCGTCCCCCGGTTTTCTTAGGAGGGGTGAGCGCCCCCTCCCCTATTTCCCCCTCCCTCCCCCATGGAGATAAGAGGCAGAGGTCAACGCAGATTTAAAGGAGGAGGGGGAGCCCCCCCCAGCCCCCCAAGGAAGGACATGCATTGTGCAACCAACCCCAGCGCTGCCTCTTGTTGCCGTCACATCTGACCCACATACCCACATTCCTGGCCTCCAACCGGATGTCCTTCTTCTTCTTCTACGCTTCCTCCTCCTCCTCCTCTTTGTCTCTCTGGCGGGGGTAGGGGGGCAGCGGGGGGCGTGGGGGGGGCAGATCCCAATCCCCGCAGCAACCTCTCTGCCCCACTCGACTCCCCCTTCTTTCCTCCCTCCCCCTTTCGCGCTCTGCTTTGCCAAGGCAAGAGCGCCCCGAAAAGTTCAAATCAGGACAGCCGAAAGCGCGGCCATTATGTAAGCTGCCTTGCCAAGGGAGGGGGGGGAGGGGGAGGAGGGGGAGGAGGAGGGGGGGATGGTAACAGGCCTTGGGGACCCCCGCCCCACGGAGTCAGCGCGCCCCACCTACCCAGCCACTGCCCCCCCTGGCCGAGGGTCCGACAGGAGCTTTTTAAGGCTCACCTTAAAAATCATCCTTTTTTTTTTAATTTGCAAAATCTGCTAATGGGGGGGTGGGGGTCCCCCCTTCCTCTCCCCCCCCCCCTGCAGGACCCCTTTGCGCCCCACGGAGGTAAAGGGGTGGGAGGAGAGAGGGTGGAGAAACCCCCCCCTTCCCATTTATTCAGCCCTCTCCGCTCACCGACGGGAAGTCCTCAACCGTTTTCAACGACGCCGGGGGTGGGCGGGGGGAGGAAAGAGACCCCTTGAACAGATCATCAGGGTTGGAAGGGTCCCTGTAGGTCACCTAGTCCAACCCCCTGCCCAAGCAGGAGACCCTACACCATTTCCAACAGATGGGAGTCCAATCTCTCCTTTCTCAGACTTACAACCGTCGTAGCAATCCCCAGCAGACGCTCGGTAACTGGCTCGGATATATGACGGTCGTGGCGTCCCGGGGGGTGGGCGGAAGGGGGAGTATCATGCCATCCACTTTCGCGACCTTCTGATGAATCGAGCCAGATTTGCCTCGCCGCCAGGTAACTGACATAACAACCGCCGTGATTCACTTAACAACCGTGGCCAGAAAAGGTGTAAAATGGGGCGAAGCTCACTTAAGAAACGTTTCACTGAGCAACGTACATTTTGGGCTCAACCGCGGCTATCACTCGAAGACGACCAATGTTTCACTCAGCGACGTAAAGCTTGGGCTCGGTTGGGCTCGTAAGTCGAGGACTGGCTGTAGAAGCCATGAGCCTCAGACTCCACCCACTCTCTCCCTCCTCACCAAGAGATTAAAAAAACCAGGCCTATTTATGTGGTGCCTCGACTTACGACCCCAATGACGTACAACTGGAATTACCCATCCCAATTGTGGTCATTAGTTGAGGACTCCCGGGCAAAACAATATTTTTTAAATGGGCAAATTAGCCTTCCTCCTCAGCGCAAGGCCACCCCGTAAGTACCTATCCACCTGGAGGATGATGGGAATTGCAGTCGTCCACCTCCGCCATCCACCCCGGAGAGAGGGAGGGAGAGAGGGAAGGGAAGAGAGAGAGAGAGAGAGAGAGAGAAAGGGGGTTTCTGGGAAACAAGGCCCTGCTCGGTGTCTTGACGGAAAATGAGGACGCTCTAGTGAGGAAGAGGAGGGACACAGCTGCACTCACCTTGGCTCGTTGACCGACGAGGAATGAGTCCCTGGGAGGAAAGTGGGGAGCCCCAAAAGGGAAAAAAAAAAAAGGGAGGGGGCAGTTACTCATACAGAGACCCTCTTGGATTTCTGCCTGGGGAATTCTGGGAGTTGAAGTCCACCCCTCTTAAATCACGCTGGCTGGGGAATTCTGGGATTTGAAGTCCACCCCTCTTAAATCAAACTGGCTGGGGAATTCTGGGAG